ATAGTGGACACAGGTACAGATACTTCTTAGACATAACCAAACACCCGAGAGATTGGTTTTCTAAGTTTGAAGGCTTAGGACTATAGTCTCATGGAACAACTCAGTTAATTGGAATAACATAGTGCATAAAGTGTATGTTCTACATCCCTCCCAATGTGGTGAGTAGTGTCTGAGGTCTCAAAAGCTTGCAAGAGGCCATTTAAGATATAACTATTGGTCTGTACTCAGAACAAAAGAGAAAGAAGGAAATCAAAGACTCAGAGGAGAAAGTAGTCTACAAGACTAATAAGTCTTCACAAACCATGGCCTCATCTACCCTGAGACCAGAAGAACTAGATGGTGCCCAGCTACCACTAAAAACTGTTCTGTTCAGGGCACAATAGATGGATCCTAATAGAATGGGAGAAGAATGTTGAACAGAATTTAAATTCTTAGAAAGTGCAGACATACTGGACCAGTTGAGACTAGAGGAATCCCTGAGACTATTGCCCTGAGATACTCTTTAAACCTTAAACCAAAATTATCCCTTGAGGTCACCTTTTAGCTAAATAACAAATTGTCTCATAAAGTAAAGAATATCACTGTGAGTAATGAGGTCTTTTAAAAAAAATCATCTGTAGGAGACCAAATGGTCAAACATTACTCTAAAGCAAAGATGAGAAGATAGAGGCAGGAAAACTAGAATACTGGAAATGGCAGTGCTAGAATGGAATGAATGAGAATGATGACATATTGTGAAAAAATGTAACCAATATCATTGAATAATTTATATAGAAATTGTTAAATGGGAACCTGATCTGCTGTGTAAACTTTCACCTTAAACAAGATAAAATATTATTTTAAAAAAAGAAAAGATATATGCCATTTCCACTTTGTGTAGCTACAAAACTATTTATGCAATAGATAACTTGGATGTACTCGGAAAAACTAAAAATTTGTTTCTGATTAAAAAGTAAAAAATAAATAAAAGAGGTGAAGATACCATTTATAGCAAAAAAAAAAAAAAAAAAAAAAAGAACTGTTTTGGCACCTAATCGAATAATGGGTGACATTAGTATTTTGTTTAATCTTCCTAATTACATTGGTGGTGCAGTGGTTAAGAGCTCGGCTGCTAACCCAAAGGCTGGCAGTTCGAATCCACCAGCCACTCCTTGGAAACCCTATAGGACAGTTCTACTCTGTGTCATAGGGTTGCTATGAATCAGAATCAACTCCACCGCAACAGGTTTGGTGTTCTTTGTTTTTTGATTACACTGTTAGCACCCAGAGGGTAGGACACATCTCTCTCTCTCTCTGGAGTTAATTCAGCCCCTGTCCCCTGGGCTACACAAATAGGAGGAACTGAGGAAGAACTTATTAAATAAATGAATGAATTATACAAACGAAAAGCAGGTCAAGGCCACATATTATATGATTCCATTTAAAGGAAATGTCCAGAATAGACACATCCATAGAGACAGAAGTAGATAAGTGGTTGTCAGAGACTAGGGGGATGTGGGATGGGGAGTGGCTGCTAATGGGTATAAGGTCTCCTTTCGGAGTGATGAGAATGTTCTGGAACTACAGTGATGGTTGCACAACACAGTGAATATACTCAGTGCCACTGAATTGTACATTTTTAAATGGTTAAAATGGTAAATTTTACCTCAATTAGAAAAAGCCAGATTGCAAAACACCAACCACCATTTATATGTGGATTATGTATCTAACCCTCCTTTCCACATTCTTGCCCCACCCCCAGCACAAATCTCACTAAATGGTAGTGGGCAAATTAACACTAGAGAATGGAACCATCTGCACATTTCCGAAGTCACCTCAGCACCGCAACAGTCAGTCTTTACTGGGGACTCATAAGTCACGAGAAAGCAAAAATTCCAATACTCAGCACTTCCAATTGCAAATGATGATCAGCATCAACGGCCTGGGCCTGGCTTTTCTGTTACGTGTGCACCCATGCGGGTTATTCTGAGATGATCCACACACAGTGGTTTCTGTGGTCACCAAATCAGAGCGCGTCAAGAAGTGCACAACGGCTCTCCATTTACCATCAAGTGGGCCCACCCAGGATCCTGCTCTGCAACATTTGCTGAGGTTGTTCCCAGAAGCGAAAACCCCAGAAGGTAGCAGCAAATGTGGCCCCAGCAGAGGGAGATGAGAAGGGAGAAAGCCTGAAGACTGGAAAATTCAGGAAGGAGACTCGCACCAAGAAAAGCCTACAGGTAGAGGGAAACTGCCCACATGTCAGTCATTCAGCCACCAGAACACAGGATGATGGCAATGTTCATTCTGTCAAGTGCCCTTTCCCTCCCAGAAAAGCTTAGATCCAGGAGACAAGCCCTAAGGGCTGCACCAGCTCTGAGTTTACTCCTATCCTAGAGACAATCACCTATTTATTTTTAGCACCCCACTGTCAGATGTTTTCAAAGAGCACCTCCCCCTCATAACCACTGCTTTTTCGTGCAGTTAATTACACTCCCAATGACAACCGTTCAAAAAATCCCAAGACAGTTAAGTGTTAGAGAAACATTCAAAGCCGAAATGCTGAGTTCAGCAGCTGTGTAGTGGAGACGCTCCACTCAAGACAAGAGGCAGGTCTAGCCTGTAAGACTCGGGAGCTGGTTAAGGGTGCATGGTAAACATACAAACAAACGAAAAATACCTTGTGAGCTCTTCTTTAATCTTCAAGGGTTCATGTGGGTAGAATTTCACTCTAAAGCACATGGTGTATGGTGGATGAGCTGAAACATCATAAAGAAAAGGCATGAGAAAAGCAGCAAAAGACCATGGGCTCACACACACAGGGACGTCAGCCGTGAAGCCTCACAGACTAGCCTGGGAGGGGTGGGGGTAGGCAGGGGAGAGGGTGATTTTCTGAAAGAAGCAGAAATTATGCCCAAGAAAACAAAGCAACAATGAGAACAAAAGTAAAAAAAAAAAAAAAAAGTCTGATAGGACGCCCAGAGCAGATGTGGAATACAGGCACCTAGTCAGTTAACACATCTTTCCACGTCACAAGTTCCCTTCATTGCTCTGCTCTCTCAAGGCCATGGCTCCAAATAACATTTTCTCTTCCTCTTCTCCCCACCCCCTTGTGACAAATAAATTGCCCATAAGCACCATTCAGGTTTTTGGCCTTCTAAGAGAATTTTTAGCCTGTGAGGTGGAAAAACGTCACTACACATGGTTAGTTTGACCAAAATGGTGGTCCTTCGAATTAGAACCTAGGTTTTAAAAATGGAGTCAGCCATACACAGATCCTTCTGCGTAGATTTTTAAGAGCATCTATTGATGAGGGAGCCACCTGTGTGAAAATTAACACTTTTATTACTTCCTGGCTTATTTGAATCAAAATAGCACCATGCAGGCTGAAATTGTGGTTGAGGGTCATGATTGTGGAAGGTTCTAATTGCATCAACTATCCAGAATGCAATTCTCCTTTCGGCACAAGACCAGTTAATGAGACTCTAGAGGATTTCCTTCATTCCAACACACCTTCAATTATAAGCCCACTACTGACTTGCAATATTACCTTAATGAATGAACCCAAGTGTAGTAAGATGCATTTTAGATTACAATTAAGATAGAAAATGAGCAGCTTAAAATCAAGGAAATACAGTGGTTAATATTACTACTTCTATGGATCTGACAGGTCTGCTCATTTTTTGTCTTTTTATTAGTACAGCTGCTTCGCATCAGCTCTGAGTCTACATCCAAATAATATAAAACAGCATTCAATTCTCCCCAAACTTCTGTTTCAAGATAAAAACAAAACAAAACAAACAAAAAAACCCAAACCCATTGCCGTCGAGTTGATTCCGACTCATAGCGACCCAATAAGACAGAGTAGAACTGCCCCATAGGGTTTCCGAGGATTGGCTGGTGGATTCGAACTGCTGACCTTTTGGTTAGCAGCCAAGCTCTTAACCACTGTGCCACCAGGGCTCCAATTTTAAGATAAGCAGGGGTTAAATCATCAACCCATACTATGATGCCTGTACAGAGACAAGTTCTTTATGTAGAAAGAACTATCATCATCAAAGATGAATGCACAATGAGGATAACTTAACATAAAAAACAAATCTGCTTAAAAATAATTTGATAGAAAGGATCCAAATCACAGGAAAACCCAGCAGCATATTGCTGACTATCTCAGTAGAGAAAAACTGAGTAAACACACACGCACACACACAAACTCTTCCCATTGAACAGCCCTTACTTCCCCACCAGGGGCTAGCACATTTTTTATCTGAGTTGGGTGTTCCTAATGTGGCTCTGTGTTCCCTAGATTTAAGAAGCAGAAAATTTTTCTGGAGCTCTAGGAGAAAATGGACACCTCTCACTAGGGGCAGATTAACCAGTAAGCAAGGTACGCGTGGGCTTAATTGTATTTACTTACTTATCTGTGGTGCACAATTTCACGTGTTTTTCACCACATCATCATGTGAAATTGTGCGCTACAGGTTAGTAAGTAACACAAGTAAGCCTGTGGGTACCTTGCTTACTAGGTAATCTGCCCCTGCCTCTTATACACCAGAGACAATGTAGAAAAAATACAAACGATTCTCAAGTCATTCACCTTTCATAAAATCTAGAAATTCAGTTTTAACTCGAAATATTTATATCTGTACACATTTCCCAGACTTCTTTTTTTTTAAAATCACCACCCTTAAATGATTAAAGCAATTTTTTTTTCTTTTAAATTATAAAACCTCTGGCTTGTCCTTAATAGAAAGGTCAAGACAGTTCTTGAAGAGAGAACAACAGAGCCATAGATTGGAATAACATGGAAAAGAAAGGAATTTTCTTTCTTTTTCCTTCCTTTTCTCTCTTTCTTTCATTTAAGTCTTCAAAATTAACACGTGTTCAAATTAATATAGACAGACAGAGAGAGAGATAGATATCATCCTCCCTCACTTTCCTTCATTTTATCCTTATTCCTGCCACTTCTGTCCTTTACTCCTGCCCTGGTGGCACAGTGGTTAAGGCACTCATCTGCTAACTGAACCCACCAGCCGCTCCGTGGGAGGAAGATGTGACAGTCTGCTTCCGTAAAGATTTACAGCCTTGGAAACCCTGTGGAGCAGTTCTACTCTGTTCTATAGGGTTGCTATGAGTCAGAATCGATTCGACGACAATTGGTTTGGGTTTTTTTGGGTTTTCCGTCCTTTAGGTTCCCACTCCACCTCAAAACCCTCCAACCACTGTTAACAACTTCATCTATATTCTTCCACCTTTTTTGCTATCCTCACACAAATATATTCAAACATGGAGGGGATTTTTAAAAAATAATTTGTTCTCACAAAACCAGATCATACATGTTTCTTTTGCTTTTCTCGCTTAACTCTACACCCTGGCCACTCCGCTGATGTTCTTGTTAGTTGTCATTGAGTCGATTCTGATTCATGCCATCCCGCTAGGAAAGTAGAAATAGATCTAATTCACCCTGTATCGTAACTGTGTAATTGTTCATTGATCTAGTTATGGATGACAAGATTCATGAGGGTATGGACCTGTATGTCTTGGTCAGCATTTTATCCCCAGGGCTAATATTGGAAAAAAGATTGACCGCTTGTTTGGCTGAATGAATGAATGATGGACTCTAACCTTTGAGGCAGATGTCAAGGAGAACAGCCAGGCCCTGACATCACATTTATCCCTTAACATCTCTGACAGAGTCAAAATACGGGTCTAGAAGGTCCATGGTCTCAATCACTATGATAATTCCTAGGAGTTATATTATGAAAACCTCTAGTCCTATTTCTTAACTTCTAGTTCTGTTCCTCAAAATATGGAACAGATTCAGAGACTCCGGAGTTGGTTAGAATAGCTGCTTCTAGAGAGAGGATTAGTTAATTCTACCAAAAAATATTAATTGAACAAATATTAATTGTCAGACAGTTTCAGATCTTGTACAAATAACAGCAGCTGTGAACAGGGAAAAATTCAAGCCTTGTGGAGCACGCATTCTAGTGGAGTAAACAGGTATAAAATCAAAATAAATAAGTGAAATATATACGACATTTGTGTTGTTGTTACCTGCCATCGAGTTGGCCCCCAACTCATGGTGACCCCACGAACAACAGGATTGGATTGTTGTGATCTCGGGGTTTTCATTGGCTGGTTTTTGGAAGTAGATCACCAGTTCTTTCTTTCGAGTTCGTCTTAGTCTGTAATCTCCACTAAAACCTGTTCAGCCTCATAGCAACATGCAAGCCTCCATTGATAGACGGGTAGGTGGCTGCTCATGAGGTGCATTCGCTGGGAATTGAACCCAGGTATCCCGCATGGAAGGTAAGAATTCTATCACTGAACCACCACTGCCCTTGCACATATGACATTAGAAGTTCATTAAATGTTACAGAGAAGAATAAAGCAGGAAGGATTTAAGAAGTGAGAGAAGACTATCATCAAAACTACAACTAAATCCACAAAACCCAAACCCGTTGCCACTGAGTCAATCCCGACTCATAGAAACCCTACAGGACAGAGTAGAACTGCCCCACAGGGTTTTCAAGGAGCTCCTGGTAGATTTGAACTTCCGACCCTTTGGTTAACAGCTCATAGCTCTTAACCAGTACTCCCCATGGTTTCCCAAATCCACACAGGTAAGTGCAATTCTCTTTACTAGAGAATTTTCTAGAACACCAAACCGTTTCACATTTTAAGTTATTAAACAAGGGGGTGGGGGGAAATCACCTTTCAGCCCAAATATGGTGGCACTGGGCTTGGGGTCAGAAGCCCTGCATTGGAGCACTGACATGTACCCATGCCAGCTATGGCTGCTGAAAAAGGAGCCTTCCCAGGTTCAACCTAGCCCTTGGCATTCGCTCCCTGGGGACAAGTCCAAAGTCAGTAATCCCCTTGTAGGGATGTGCCTATCTCCTCCTCCAAGCTAAGTGTCTCAGCCCAATCCAGCTTCAGTGTCTCCCTGTTCTTAAGCTACCAGGAAAAGCGGGTGAAGCAAAGGATGACTCTAATCTTTGCCAAATATTTGGCACAGAAGCAGTCGCTGGGTACCTCTGATGAAGGCGCTGTCTGTGGAGCAAGACGCAATCGGCATGGACATGACAAGCCCCAAACCCTGGACTTGGACCTTCCTCCAGCAGCATCATCATGAACAGACGCCTGTGTGTGTTTGTTTACTGGACAGAGTATCTGAATCACCCAACATGAGAAGACTTTATGGCCCAGCTCTACTGCTGGTACAAACTCCTCAGCATTCATGACAGGGGCACACAGGATGGTAGGAAAGAGGGGATGAGCCCTAGAGTTTTGAGGGAGACTTCCAAAAGCGACCTTGATCAAGCACCTAAATTCTCTGCTTCCTGCTGTGGAAGAGGGGAGACAGGACCAGCCGCCATGCCTGCATCACAGAGGTGTTTGAACAGATCCGAAGAAGTCTTAGAATTTCTGGGTGGTGAAAACGGTTAACATGCTCAACTACTAATAGAAAGGTTGGAGGTTCGAGTCCATCCAGAGGCACCTTGAAAGAAAGGCCTGGTGATCTATTTCCTAAAAATCAGCCAAGGAAAACGTTATGAAGCACAGTACTAGTCTGACACACATGGGGTCATCATGAGTCGGAGTTGACTTGATGGCAACTGGTTTGGAAGAGGTCTTGTCACGTGCGCCATGGAGTGCTACCTACACGTGAACTTTTGTGAGGTTTTTTTTTCAGAATAAACAGTTCAGAAGAAGCGGGGGGTGGTGGTGAGATGGAGGGAGGAGAGGAAGAAGA